GCAAGGAAGGGGAGAATTCTACCACTGAACCACCACTGCATCCTCCTTAATTATTTAAAAAACAAAACAAAACAAACTCACTGATGTGGGGTCAGAGCAGACTTATAGGGACCCTTCCTTGATTTTCTGAGGCAGTATCACTATGGAAGTAGATTGCCCAATCTTCCTTCCGAGGAGTGGCTGGTGGGTTTGAACTGCCAGCCTGCTGGTTAGCAGTCAAATGCCTTAGGCACTATGCCCCTGAAAACTTGGGAATAACTCAGGGAGATAAAACAAACTTATTCAAGAAGTAACCCAGGCTGGAGTCACTCGGCTGACTTGGGGTTCTTCTAGTGAGCTAGCTACTTGGGGCTCTGATAATCATGTCATTGACAGGCAATATCCACTAGTGCCCAACACCCACACTCACATTTACACACATGCTCACTAACAGACTTCTCCCCCCTTGCAGGTCACCTAGACTCTAACCTGTGGTAGCAGCAGAGTCATCTCTGCCTGAGGGCTCCTGTGGGCCAGCCAGGGACCAGGGCTGGAGATCAACCCAAAGGAGAAGTAACTGTGAAAGCTGTGGGATACATAAGGAATGCTGGTGTGCATAGACTCTCTTCCAGAAATCTCTTGTGGGAACCTCCCTGTCAGAGTCCCTGCTGAGTATCACATTTATTCAGGGTTTCTTATCCAGGGACAGATCTTTTGCAATGGACAGAATTACTGCCTCAGGATGTACTGCAGTCATGATATTACTTAAAGGAAGCCAGAAAGGATAAAAAGTAAACATCAGTGGGAAAGCTTCCCATAACCATATACCCATTACCCCTAAATTTTGATCAGGTCCAGCCCCTCCCTCCCCTCAGGCTTTGTAATCCACTGCCTCCATGATCAGTCCAGTGTGATGCATCAAGACTAATAAATGTGATACATTCTGTCATAACTCTTCACTTTTTCCTCTTTGCTTCCTCTAGCCAACATCTTCTCAACTGAGAGAATCACCATCACCCACAGATCAGGGCAAATATGTGGGTAAAGGGAAAAACCCTAAATGTTCTTCTCTCATACCTACACCAGCAATTAGAGCTGGCTCTACCTCCAGGTAGAAGCAGAAGCCAGCATTCCTCCACCTTCCAGCCACCATCCCTGTCTCAGGTATGGTCCTCATGCTTCTGTCTCAAAGGGTCATCCTCACCTATCTCTGTCAAACTTCCCCAAGCTTCAGAGGCCATTGTGCACTAATACTAAAGAGAAGCTTGCTGGGAGGAAATCAGATTGTTACTGCTCTGTGTCACCTCACCCACATTCTCCCATTACACTGAGGATAAAACCCTAAGGCCTTACCAGGGGACAGAAGATCCAGGTAGCCACACCCTCCATCCCTGCACACCTGCTTTTCTGCACTGTGCCCTAAGCATACCGTTCTGGCCCCAGTCTCAGAAACCTTACAGAGCTGCCTACATTTCTCTTCCCTAGCACTTCTGCTACTAGTTCCTCAGTTCTTCTCTTCCTGGAGAGGCCTCACTGCTCACCATTCAAATAGCCAGCCTTTCAACACAACTCATTCCCCACAGTCCCACCCAACTGCACTGACTGCATTTACCATGCTTGTCACAATTTCACTCATAGATTTAGGTGTTTTCTTGTCCCCTGACTATGGTCCTACTGCTTTCTGCACAGATCCTCCATATGGTGGCCCCTCTATAAATGTCTGCTGATATTACAAATGGAGGTCATCTCAGCCATGACTCAAATGTCAGCACAAGCCCATCATTTTGTGTCCAACTCAGCAGGACAGCAGGCCATCATACCAGCATGCCAGCCCCCTGAGCCTGAGGTGTTTCTCTGTCTTTTCTTCTTGTATTTTTCTTTACAGTTTCTTACCTAATTCTGCCATCCTCACCCCACTTAATCTTCTCGCTATCAGCTCTGTGCTCCTACTCCTCATTCTGCAGCAGAAATTCTGACCCCATGTTTTCCTTACGCTTCTCTCTCTCCTTCCACTTTTTGTTCAAGTAATCCATTCTCAAAGGAAACAAATCAGAAACATGAAGCAATTCTTTTGATACCTTGTAATTAAAAAGTATTTATCAAATTAAAAAATCAGTGACTCTTTTCTGCATGTCAACTCCACCCCAACCCCAGGACTGCTCCCAGGGCAAATGCAACAGCAGGGGGCACAGGCCCTAGTATGCACCTTGCGCTGGCTTCGCCGGACCCGCAGCAACTTGTAAGCATACTCATCCACGTTGTCCTCATTGTACTGAAATATGGCAAACTCCATTGACATGAGAAAGTAGCTCAGATTCTTACTGACGTCCACATACTCATAACGGATACTCCAGGCTTGCATTGCCAGTAGCGCGAGAAGCAGAGTCACCTGCTGGGGCATGGCTGTCTGCAATATCTTCACTGAGGACCTGGGGATGCATGGGCGGTTAAGGGCTGGGGAGGGAGGGATGGGGGAAGGCTGCTGCTGCTGAAAATGTCCTTCATATCTCAGATCCCACACACTTTGCCAAGCAGAGGCCCTGACCTAGTCACCTCCTTTCTCCAACTGGTGCCTCTGTCCAGCTCCTCCACACCACTCCCCCACTTGTCCCTGTAATCATCACCAGACAACAGAGTAGGAGGCCTTGGACTCATAGATAAGCATTAAACACACTATTTTCATTGCCTTTTCTGCTCCATCCATCTCTGGTAAAGACCTGGGGATAAGGAGTTGTGCCCATCTTGCTGCCCTCATGGCAGTGCATCTAAGGACAGATAATAAGTCTCAGGAACTCAAAGAAGACATGGTGAGCCTGGATTCTAGGGGAGTACAGTGAGAACTACAGCCTATGATATGCAGCCAACACAACCTTCCTTGCTGAAAGTGAAGATGACTTGAAGTACTTACTGATGAAGATTAAAGACTACTAGTCTACATTACACTTCAAGATAAAGAAAATGAAAATCCTCACAACTGGACCAATACGCAACATCACAATAAATGGAGAAAAGATTAAAATTGTCAAACATCTCATATTACTTGGATCCCCAATCAATACCAATGGAAGCAGCAGTCAAGATATCAGATGTCATATTTCATTGGACAAATCTGCTGCAAAAGATCTCTTCCAAGTGCTGAAGAGCAAAGATGTCTCTTTGAAGACTAAGGTGTGCCTGACCCAAGACATGGTGTTTTAAATCACCTCATATGCATGTGAAAGCCAGACAGTGAATAAGGAAGACCAAAGAAGAGTTGATGCTTTTGAGTTGTGGTGTTGGTAAAGAATGCTAAAAGTACCATGGACCACAAAAAGAATGAATAAATCTGCCCTGAAAGAAGTGCAGCCAGAATGCTCCTTGAAAGTGAGAATGGCCAGAGTTCATCTCACTTTCTTTGCTTATGCTGTCAAAACAGACCATTCCCAGGAAAAGAATATCATGCTTGGTAAAGTGGAGGGTCAGGGAAAAAGGGGAAGGTCCTCAACGAGATGATTGATGTTGTTGTTGTTAAGTGCTGTCGAGTCGTTTCTGACTCATAGCGACCCCATGCACAGCAGAACGAAACACTGCCCGATCCCGCGCCAGCCCCACAATCCCTGCTATACTTGAAC